TGGAACATCTTCAATGGTCAATAACTCGGACACCACACAATATAATCCAATAATTTTTTTTATCTTCATAACATAAATCGAATGTGAAAAAAAATGAATAATTTTCACTCTACCAGTACCGTGCTATTGACGATTGAAGATGTTCCGTCTTGCCCCACTCTCCCCCAAGAATTTAACATTTTTTTATCAGTTATTGAATAATGGTTTCTTACGATCAATTCTGTCCGCTCGTCTCCCATTGAACCCGTGATTCATCCCACACCGGTAAAAAAATTATTAAATTTAAATAAGAAAAGTTTTTAAACCAAAAACTGAAATTAATAAATAGTTGCAAGCACATATGTAATTCCAAATGCTAAATATTGAATTGAATAAATTTGTTTAAAACAGCCAATTAAAATTTTGAAGTTCAATTGTGAATTTGATTATTTCGAAAAATTCTAAATTGAAATCCGTAATTGTCAAAATATACCTGAGGGTGCATTCAACTTAAAAACCTATTTAGTAACCGCAACCAACAGTTATTTATTTATATATTAACATTAGAGAAATATTTTTTAATTTTTCAATAGTCATAATAAATTAATATAAGAAAATTAAATAATTGATTTTTCTTTTTTGATTTTATACACCTATGTGATTAAGAGTATATTAATTCATTTTGACTGAATCTTTCATAAGAAACAGTAAATTAGCGCGAATCTATCAAAATGTTAAATTAACCAAAAAGAGATTATTAAAATTAATTAAAAAATAGTTTCAATTATTTCGAATTTAATGTAATAAAAACAAGCATTTTTGGTGGCAAACAAATAGATCCACAACATTTTATAAAATTTTAATGTCAGTGCATTTTACCCTATGTCCCACTTTGCCCCCGCTTCCCGTTTTCCCGGACGTCGCATTTCGCCCGGGTTTACCCTATTTTATATTGAAATACATGGATTATCAGGCAGGTAGTTATTTTATTTGGCAGATGTCATTATTTTCCTGTGAGGGATGGAGTGATATTAAAGTTTGATTTCATGTCACGAGCGAATGTTATGGGAAAACAGAGGTATTGGTGGGGTTTAGTGATAAAAAATAATGAGAGTAATGGACAAAGGTGGCTTAACAACGGAGGGTAGTTGTACTGAAGTCGTAGAATACTGGCGAGCAGTTGTGGTGCTTCTTGGGCTATGCTCTACACGGCTATTGTTATAATTTATATCTGAATCGTGTCAATATTGCTCTCTCTTGCAAAAGCTCCATTTACCGAGTTTCGGAATTCTGGGGTGGAAGATATTTTTTTATTCTCTGACGTACTACGCTACATATACTGACAAATTACACCATTTAACTTCGATCTCTCATTTTTTGCTTGTGACCGTGAAATTTCTTATGTATGGAAATTTAACATATTTTTAATTAGTTAAGGGTAATAAAATTCCGAAAATA